ATGGATGGATGGATGGATGGATGGATGGATGGATGGATGGATGGATGTACGTATGTACGTATGTATGTACGTATGTATGTATGGATGTATCAGAGTCAGAGTTTCTTTATTGTCATTCGCACCACATGTGGTACATGTGGTGGAGCGAAATTATGTACACGGGGTCCCAGTTACATCCAACAATAAAATGTCTAAGAAAAACAGTAATAACATCTAAGATATGAACTAAGAAAAACATCAACTAAATATACACTAAGCACTCATAACATAAAACATTGAACATCAGCACAAACATGAACATGAGTATGGATGTATGTATAGATGGATGGATGGATGGATGTGCTGTATGATTCGTAAAACTGCCCCATAGGCACACGTGCGCAGTTATTGCACAATGTGCCAGCACTACTCTCTTCACAGTCTAACTTCTGCACTCTTCTTTCTTTCTTCATCCTCTCAGCACAGTAAACTTACTGCCTCCTCCTCTACACGCAGATTAACACAGTTTGATATTGTGCATTCTTGTTTAGTTTTATTTAGTTTTATTTGTGCTGTAGGATTCATAAAACCGCATTAAAGCCTGAGACCGGCCCGGCCCACACATTAAGCACATTATTATGGCCTGGCCCAGCCCCAATTAGGGTCAGGCCAGGCCGGGCTATGGTTCCGAGTTAGAAATGACAGCTCTACCATGCAGGAACACGCAAGTTGAAGCCAGAGCTTTTACTGGGACCCTCTTGTGAGTAAGCAAGCAGGACATTAGAAAGTCCACGTGACACTGTCATCGTGTTCAGGGGAAAAGGCAGAACTTAAACAACCCCCCCCCCCCCCCCACACACACACACACACACATCCTGAGTGTGCCACTATGGTTAAAAAAAAATAAAAAATCTTGGCAGCTTCTGTATGCCAGGCCCTGCTGGGTTCAGTTTCCAACTAAATGGAAGAAAGCAGTGAGTATTTCCTTATATGTTATGACTTAAACAGATAAAAAAAAAGTAAATATGTAAAAAGGTAAAGTTACCCCGGCGCTTTGGTAAAAACTGACACCGTGTAGACTCCTGCCCGTCTTGAGTCGCGTACCATGAACGCACCTTCTTTTCCCTAAAGTAAACAAGTGACAAAAATTGGTGAACATGAAAAACACTTCTTTTTTTAATTATACATCCGAGTCATTTCTGGGTGTTTTGTTAAGACTCATTTTAGTTCACGGATGTTGATGATAGACACCCCCCCCCCCCACACCCCCTTCCTCATGCCTGTTTGCAGAAGGCAGCAAAACACTTGACGGCAGAAAATCCGGCATAGGAGGAAACATTGTGGTTTTGAGAAATTTTCATGTCCCATGTCATATTTTCACAGCTAGCAGATGCTTTTTATGTTGTTGTTGCAAAAGCACCATAGGTGTAGGTGGTACAGTCACAGCAAAAGTGCATTTTATCATAAAGCCCAACATCCTGCTTTTTGACACTGGAATTAACATTCTGATATTTTTTTAACCAACTTCTGAAAGATCACCAGATAAGTATATTTCTCTTACACCAGTCTCTTTATTTTTACCTCTTCCATTAACAAGTCCTCTGCCTCTGCTCTGGTAATATGTTTGTTGTACCATCTGCAAAATGAACCATCCGTTATTTAGAGAATGAAAACATTTGGGAGAAATGTTTTAGGGGTTAAGATGAAAAAAATAAGTAAAACTTACTCAAATCGCTCAAAGTTGTTGCCAGCTTTTTCAACTACGTAGGTACTAGGCACAAAACCTGCGTTACTGATGAAAACAAACGGTGAAAAAGTGATTGTGTCTAATTTAAACTCTTTACACAAGAAACATGGTCTTTATCACGCACCGCCAGGAAAAGTGGGCAATCATAAAATTGCCTCAATGCATGTTAATTTGTCTGTTTGTAAAACATTTCATTAACCATAGAGTGAATGTTCATGAAACGTTCAGAAATTCATCAGAAATACATCTGACAATTAACTTTTGGAGTCAACCCAATTTAAAATGGCCACCACAGCCAACTGGACATTGGAACACAGAAAATAGCTTTAACTCAATTAATTTTACAGCCATTGAGCTAAAATTTGGTGTGGTAGTAGCTGATAGTCATTTACAACACATACTCTGAACACAACGTATTGTGTAACGTCTTCACTTAAAATATGAAGAAAAACGATCAACGCTGTTTGCTTGTTAGCAAAATATCTCATGAACCACTGGATGGATTTTAATGAAACACTCAGAAAAAAGTCACTAGATGTACATCTACTCATTAACTAATTAACTCATTAACAATTTACGTCAACCTGATTCAAAATGGCCACCACAGCTAGCTGATATTATCAAACTCTGGCTATAACTACGAATTTTATAGACGTTAATGTAGAATTTGGTAGAAGTACCTAAAAGTAGATGACTGCACATATAAAAAAAAAATGCCATTATGTTTTAGAGTGAATACGATTTTTCTGTCAGCAAAATATCTCATGAACCACTGAACTTTAAAGCCACTCTCAGAAAGTAATCACTGGATGTACATCTACAATCTTTTGGAGTTAATCTGATTCAGATGGCTGCTACAGTTGCACCTCACCAAACACATAATTGGCTGCAGATCAGTCAATTGTGCAGACAATAAGCTAAAAATTGGTGTGGTGGTAGCTGTGAGTTATCCTCAACTAATACTCTGAAATAAAATCATTGTGCATATTTTGCATGAGACTGTGCATAGTCTCGTTTTACAATGTTCGACCATAAGAGATTTAGCAGTTTCACTTGTCTTTGTAAAATGATGTTTAAAACGCCAGCATGAAAGGAGGTGGATGATGTGCACTCCTTTAAGGAATGCTAGGTTAATAATTTGTATTTAGTTTTAGGCCTTACCCTTTGTTATCCTGCACCCTCCACCAGTTGAGGTGGGAGCTGCTGATCAGCAGGTACTCCTGATCTTTCAGAAGAGGCAGACTGTCCTTACCCTGCGGCTTGTAGTCCTGCAGGGCCACGACCAGCTGCTGTTCTGAGTCTTGCAGCTTCATCTGGCCAAAGATGAGATGTTCATTACAAAAACTTTAATGACCTTTTATTGTTTGGTTTTATTATCATGTACTATGTGGAGATAGAGCGCAGAAAGTGGTTTTAAACAAAATGAGGTTGTTAGGACAAGAAGTTCATTGAAAGACTACATGATCTGAGTTGTTTCTAAGTGGGTTTATATTGGAGTGAACTTTAGGTTTAAAGGTCCAAGATTTACAGAAGAAGCCTGACTCTCACATGACTCGAGCAACGCAAGCTAACAGGATAGAGAGGGCATAAATCATCTGTAGCAAAACCACAAGCACAGTGGTTAAATCAAGTTCAAATTAATTTTATTGTTGTTCTCATCACATGAGGTGGAATGAAATTATGTACACAGGGTCCCAGTTACACACCAAAATAACTAAAATATAAAGTGCAAAAAGAAACTGTGTATGAGGATCTAAGATATATGCTAAACGGTACGTCCAAAGATCTAAGATGTACGCTAAACATTGATAATGTAAAATAATACGGCTTAACAACAGCAGCCTGAACATGAGTCTGTGTGAGCACATGGGTGCGTATGAATATAGCAGCATAAGATAATCAGCAGCATGAGATCAGCAGCATGAGATCAGTCACATCACCAAATTAAAGTTGCATTACAGTGATTTTTTTTTTTCAGTGATAATCCCGATTAGAGATTTATGAGTCTCACAGCTTCAGGGTAGAAGCTGTTCCTCAGTCTAGTGCAGGGGTCTGCATCTGCGGCTCTGGAGCCACATGTGGCTCTTTGGTCCCTCTGCAGCAGCTCTTTCAAGCTTTGACCAAAACTGACATAAAACTGAATTTCATAGATGTTATACGCACAACAACAAAAACCCGACTAGTTTTAGCAGTTTTCCTGTCATTTCCTTTGCAAATATGTGGATACACAGAGTAAATTATACTCCTCTTAACTGTATGCTTTATTTCTTCAAAGTAGGATACTCAATTTTTCCACAATAAAAAAAAAAAAACTAAAATAGGACTGCACAGTGAATTGGTTTAGCAAAAGAAAAAGGGAAAATGTATTTTTTTTTTTCTTTGCAAGAATTCATTATTCTGTGATGGACTTGCAACCTGGATATGGGCACCAGTGACCCCCTGCAACCCAAAAAGGAGAAGCGACTAACGATGATGGATGGATGGATGGATGGATGGATGGATGGATGGATGGATGGATGGATGGATGGATGGATGGATGGATGGATGGATGGATGGATGGATGGATGGATGGATGGATGGAATCTAGTCTTTTCTTTTGGCTCAAAATGTAACAACATCAATAAATGTTAACAATCATTGGATGTTTGTAGTTTTATAATTTCACACTTACTGGCCAGAAAAGCCCCCTCAAACAAACTTAAAGAGGCCCATGGGCCACCAGTTGATAGTGACAATTATAGTAGGTTTTGCAGCACATTTAATTTAGTTAATGAAGGGACAGAAATGGCTCTTTTGATCATACAGGTTGCAGACCCCTGGTCTAGTGATTCTACACCGAATGCTCCATAACATTCTAAATGGCCATTTTAATTGATCTATATCACTAGAAGCAGACACTTGCATTTTTTAACGTGATAAACTAAACCAAAGTTACACAATGATTTGTTTTTTTGTAATTCTTGAACATGTCGTCAGTAATATTTTTCATCTGCACGCCACTGTCATGTTGTAAAGTGTAATACCTCTGGACCTGGGAGTTCAGGCAGTGGCTTTTTAGAAGCTGCAGGGAAAACAGAAATGTTCAAATGAGATTTTTCTGCACCGCAGCAAAAAGCTTCCACAAGATGAATGCAGAGATGCACAACCCTGCAGAGATATTTGATAAAGCTTTAGTATAAAGTTCACAGAGAATAAAAAAAAACAAATACAAACCATAACCATCTGGGTTATATAAGTGACAACCAGCCGCCAGCTTCTCAGTCTGTTGGCAGCACCTCCATTTTCCATCCATCCAAAAGTTTGGATGGAACTTCACAACCAAGTTGTTGTGCTTGGTTTCTGTTAGAAAGAAATCAAACAAACATACGTTAGACACATATGATTAGTTAATGGACTTGTGTTGGAGTTTGGAATCATCCTCAGGCCTTTACCCTCTTTGAGAGCCCTGACCCATCTCTGACGGCAGTCGTTGTCCGGGGCAAAAATGTAGAGATAATAACCATCATGAAAAACCTGCAGGGACATTTGTTTTAGGGGAAAATTTGACCACAAATGTTTATTCACAATGCATCTACAATGATCTTTTCGTGGTAAACGCTTTAATTGAGGACTTGTACCTGAAAAGGGTACTTGTTGTTGCACGGTATGGGAATGTCGCTGCACACAATCTCGACGCATCTTATACTGGACAGTTGGATGCAACCTTTCAGCATTGGCTTTTTCTGCAAGAACATGCTCTAAACGTCACAAAACTGTAGACTGCAAGTGATAAAAATTCTTGTGTAAGCTGCTTACCCCCGGACGGCGCTCAGAATACTTCAAGTCTTGCGTGTCCAACACAAAGAATCTCTCCTTGTAGTTACTTGGTGATATTCTTTTCTTTTGTTGGGATTTTTTGATCATGGTTCCCTTCAGAATCACCCTGGGGAACATTGTAACAGCTACGAAGAACACAGCGAGCGACACTGTTCTGTCATGAGTAGAGAGCAGTGTGTCTCGCACTGACTGAGGAAGACGACAAAAAGGTTGTGGATGATAAACTTCATAGATGCTGTGGAGCTTCCGGCATGAAGCTGTTGCATGCTGTCAACCACATCCTTGTGGCAACAAATGGTTTGCTCTAGAAAACACACACACACACAGTTGTGAACAAGCACACTGTATACACCCCACATGTCCTTTCAGTTATTTTCTAGAAGAGAATAATGACAATGATTTGGTAGTACAGTATTTCTGTACATTATTTTTGTAATGGATTCAGCACAAAATGTCTACAGCATTATTTCCTAAATTTGACCATAACAACTATAACTCTGTCAATTCTAACTGAAAAATGATTTTAATTTAAACATTTTCATGAAAAGCAGTGAACAACATGCATTAAATTTGTAAACATTGGTTGTAATTTTACCATTTGTCCTGGTATTTCTTCAAATATTATTCCACAGTTCTTGTTTCCTATATTATTTATTATTTAATACTATTA